GAGTCGCGTCTGCCTCACAGCAAGTCTGTAGCACAGGGTAGAATCGTCCTTTGGGGGTTGTGAGACTTTTAAGTCTTGACAGGAGCAGACAGCCTCATCTTGGCCTCAAGTGACCGGTGGGTTCAAACGACTGACCTGGAGGTCAGGAGTGCAATGTGGAACTCACGGCACCACCAGGGTTCCCTGCTCTCCCCACAAAACCCCCTAATTCCTTCAGCAACCGAATTCCAGGACGTCTCTCCGCTATTTTGTAACTCACCTTACTTTCTCTACGTTATTATTATTTCTTGTTATTTCCCGAGCACCTTGTTGTCCATAAGGTATTTCTCTCAATACATGAGGGTCATACCAAGAACTCCTCCTTTGCTTGTATTGCGCATGGCACATTGCCTTGTATGCGGCAAGTGTTATGACTATGTTGAAAAGGAAGCATGTCAGATGACTCATGACCTGTGAACACGACTGACACCGAGAAACCCAAGCGACGGGATCCTGTGCGTGTAACAAAACCAGCCCACTCTGGAAAACAATGTGAAAAATATATTTATTTTTGAAAATGTATCAGTTCGCTATAGTATAGTACAAGGCATGGCAACTGAAAATAAAGACAACATGGACTGATAGTTATAAATATCTAAGGTTTCATTTATCAACTATTAAAATGATATGATTCTCCTGATCTGCTGTAAAATGTATAAAGAGGAAAAGATTTATACTGTACACCAAAGTAAGGGCTGCCTGACAAGAGTTGTAAAGAAGAGGGGAGCAGTACCTGTCTCAAAGGATGGTTTCTTTGTGGTTTCTGGGAGAACTCCCTGTGGTTTCTGGGAGAAACGTACCCCGAGCTGACCGGCCAGCCCACCCATCCTTTGTTTGGGGGCCCTGTTGACTTTCTTTTGACTCTCCTACACATTCTATTTCTAATGCGACCCTTTCTTGAAGGATCTAGTTATGCTCCATTACCAAGGCGTGCTTTTATCTTGCTGCCCCAGTTTCCAAGCTGCTCATATTGACACATTCAAGAGGTTGGGCTTTTGTTCGCCTTTTATGTAAGTGGTATTCCTGGACATTCCGTCTTCCTGTCTGGTCGAATCCATTCTGAAATCAGGCTTTCACGTCCGGAAACTTCCCGAAGGGGAAGCATCTGTAAAATATGCACACGCTTCCCTCTCGTGCCTGTCCTTTTCCCAGTTCTGTGGGGAGGTTTAAGGAGAGGCCGGTAGAAAGACTCGCTCCATCTTTGCAGAAGAAGGGAAGATCAGAGCGGATTTCAGACAGCTGGGTTTCCTTGGTCAAAGTCACATGTTGTCTCGAATCCAGTCCAAGTAATTAGTAACCTTGGTATATACACCTGGAACGTCTTTCTGCCCGCAGCCAATGCCCCAGCTGATGATGCCAACCAAAGTCATGCGCTTGTCCTTGACACACACCAAAGGGCCTCCGGAGTCACCCTGCAAAAGAAGACAGGCTCAGGGGGATGCTGGGCAGCTGGAGGAAGCGAGGACCACTATTCACTGTGCTAGGACCGAGCTCTTCGAAATACTTAGTTCAGAGACGGACACTTGGACATTAGTTATCTTTACCCTTTAGAGCAGTCATTCTTGGCCTTCCTTATGCCGCGACCCTTTCATACAGTTCCTCATGTGGCGGTGATCCCCAAACCATAACACTGTTTGTTGCTACTTCATCACTGTCATTTTGCTACTGTTATGAATTGGGCGAACCCTGTGAAAGGGTGGCTCAACCCACAACGGGTCGCGACCCACAGGTTGAGCACCGCCGCTTTAGAGACTTCAGTTGTATCAACAGGTGAAAAGTGACAGAGAACTGATGGGACCCCTCGGATGTGGCAGGCCTCCCCGGTCTCGGGTTTGAGCTCCACCACCTGCCTGGTAGCCCTGTGGCCTTTTGGCTAACGGTGTTTGGTTATGAGTGCT